ACTGGGGAGGGATTAGGCAGCCAATCCCCAGATATATCTCACTTAGCTCTCAGGAGCTGACTGTATGTGGAGAGCCTTGCTGACCAAACTGCTGCTGCCTTTAGCCCCTCTCCCCTTGCACTACAAATCACAGCAACCCGCAGCTCTAACTTTGAATTAGACAAAGGCTCAAATGCTGGTGCCGCCTCTTCCCAGTGTCCCATGGCATGCTGTGCTGAAAGCTTTCCGAGGCAGAAGTAGAGCCCTTGGAACAGCACCCACCAAAGCATGGCGAGAGGCCAGCCCTAGTCAGCCTGACCTTGATGGTCTGGGCATAGAGCCATGATGTGTCATGACTGGGGTTGGTTGTGTGGTGGAGGAGTGCCAGAAACATGGAGGCTCCCGGCTGGCACAGGCATAGGCACTGCATGGCTGTCCCAGGTCAGCGTGGCTAATGATGCCCGCCGAGTTTTGGTGAGCACCTGCAGAATATGCTGCAGAGAAGGGAGAGCGCAGCATCTTACATACGCTGTTTACTCCTCCACAGATTCAGGAGGGCTTTCCAGTACCATCTCTATGATCAGATTCTCTAAGTCAATGTTACACTAACTCTAAGGGCAAGAGTTTTCTGGTCATGGCACCACCGTGTCTGCACATAGCAGAAAAGATGCAGTTTCATGGTGGTGATCGTGCTTGCTGCTGCAACCTGGCCACTATGTTCATTCGAAGTGCTGCAATGCTGTAGGCTTCCACAGTTTGCAGTATGGCAAACTGAAAGTACACCATTCTTCTGGATTTGTGTTAGGCATTTTCTGTCCTGGACAGGTACCAAAGCAGGCAAGCTCTCCAGCAAGAATGACTAATGCCTTTTTTCTTGTGTTGACACACTTTATTTCCAGATTACCCCCATGGCATTACACTGGTGACTCCAGTTTCGGGCTCAGAGAAGAAACAGGTACTACACTTCTGTGCTCTGGGTGCTGAGGAAATGCAGAAATTTGTGGAAGATCTGAAAGAGTCAATAGCAGAGGTGACAGAGCTGGAGCAGATACGAATTGAATGTAAGGGCCTCTAATATGGTTCAGATCACAATGCAATCACACTGCTTATGTCCGCAGGGGGAGAAAGGGCAAATGAGGTGGATTCTTCAGGAACATGGCCAAAAAGGATGAGTTGTAGAAGTCTGCATATGATTGTCCTTGTGTTCACCAATAGAAAAAGCAGATAGCATCTATGACTACCTGCCAGTGGGAGAACTGGAGGAATATAGCTACTTATGATGCTATGAAACAGAACCCACAGTATGGTGTCCTGAAATAGTGAAGTCTGAACAGTCTGATCAAAGAGGTTCTTCTTCCCATATTCTTTTGACTATGCATATATTATCTGTAGCATCTGGGAAGTACAGGGAAGGTCTGCTAATCTTAGCAGAGCCATCCTCTCCACGAGTGAGAGGACACTCATGGATGGTGATGATATCTGGGACACAGGCTGTCTGTATTGTGCCCTTTTGTGGAACCTGATGGCCTTCAGTGTGAACTGATGAACCAAAGTAGCTAAGCGCTTGTTAGTGGTCCCTCCTGTGCAGCAATAACCTGTCCTGTGTGAGTGCAGGTCATACACACAGGTGTATGGAGATATTTAAGTGATTTCACAAGTTAAGTCCACTCTGATTTCTGTTTCTCTCTTAATTGATCGTCTCTTCCTCCTTTCTTACCACCCTATTATCATTTGCTTGCATTAATTCCCCTTGCTGACTTCACACATTGTTCTTTCAGTATGCCATTGCTCTTCCCTCCATTCCTCTCCTCATTCACTTCTACACTTCTCTCTCACAGGGGAGTTGGAGAAACAGCAAGGGGCAAAGACTCTCTCGTTAAGAACCAATGGAGCCCAGATGGAATCGCAGTCTAAGCAAGGGTCGCCAACAAGTAAGAGAACAACCACCTTCTCTTGGCCAAGTTATGCTACCTTTACAAATGTGTTCTTATTGATCCCTGTGGGAACAACTGATAAAAGAAGTGACCAGTTTTGGCCTCAGTTATAGAGTGGAAATATGAGAATAGTGTGCATTCTTCAGGTATGCTAGAAAGGCCTTTAAAATCTCATTACCTAGTCCGTAGCTGTAACATCAGGCAAAGAGGGGTTACTGATGGAGCAAAGTGCTATGTGGTAACTCCTTCAGACCCTGGCCTACTTTTTCTTCTCTGAACTGATTCCACACAAATCTGCACTGTTTTCATCTACACTTGTGCAGGAGTGTGTTTAGCTTCTCTTGTGTGTTGCATGGCTTTGTGTCCTTGGTTTGGATTATAACACAGCAAAATGAAGTGCAGTAGTGAGGGATTACCAGCTCACTAGATTGGCACTAAGATCAGGACCTAGGGATAGGAATCCAAAGAGGTCTTTTCCCTATACCACTAAAGAGCTATCAGGTTGCAAAAGGGCATGGATTTGATCCTGGAACTGAGAGTCTTGTTGGGCCTGTTACCTCTGCTTTGAGCTTTCCAGTACACAGTATGCGAGCCAGCTGATTGATGACTTGAGGTATGGACTTCATAAGTGAGATGTTTCGTTTTATTTCAAAGGCAAGAAGGACTTGGGAGAGAAGGTCTCGGACAGCACAGTGGAGGTAAGTAGAGTGCAGAGCAGCTGAGGTAAGTTATTCCCTCTCACTTCAGCTCTTCTCACATTCTCTGTTGTTTCTTTTCTCAGGTTTTAATCAATGCCTCCCCAGCCAGACTGACAATTTTACCAATTTCCAGAGATACAATTAAAAGTTACTGCTAGGACGGGTAATACAACTTTCAAATCCAAACTAAACTTCAAAGCATTTTCAATCCGTTTTTATAACTGTAACATCCCTCATGGACCAAGCTCCCAAACGCTGTGGACTAACCCACCCTACTGCTTATGGGGAGACTGAGAGCCCCACTAAAGAATTCCCTGACATGCTAACTCCATGCAGCATCACATGCAAACTCCTCTGCAGCCCAGCTTCCCTGCACAGTCTCTGCAGCCCTAACTCTCCATCCCCTTTAAGGGGAGTAAGCATGGCCTTTGTACATCAGAGACTTTCCCTAGAGCTTTGCCTTCCTAGGTAGGGAGCTTGGCTGTCCCATGTGCATCTGTCTTTGCAGGGATGTCTCACATCCAGTGGGTTGCCCATATCCTCACAGGCACCTATACTCCTGCTGCCTCCGAGGAAACAGGAAAATGCCATCTTTACACAGAAAAATCTTATCTCCTACCTTCTGCTCTTTCGTTGTCTGGAATAACCCCATTGCCCCAAATTTGCCATTTCCAGAGCACTTCTTGTCACAGTATATTTACTTGAAGAGTTCAACCTTTCTTTGGGGACTGGGTGCTTCTGCTTTTGCATTCAGAGCACCCTGTTTTCTGAGCAAATATTGACAAACTTATGCCTTGATATGCAGTGAGTCTGAGCAACTTCTCCACTTGAGTAGGTACAAACAGCTCATCCTTCTCCCACCCTTATGGGATTTTTGGCCACCTCACAACTGCTCTTTCCTACTGATGCTGCCACTCTTCCCAATCATTGGCTCCATAGCCAAAATGCACTCTGTCAGGGCACCTACAACTGTCCCATGTACACCGGCCTAGCTGGAAGTGCCCTGCCAGCCTGCAAAGACTTGTGTCCCACGTAGGATTTGTCACTTGACTGACGTTCTGTTTAGAGAATCTTGCTCTGCTTTGGGGTCTCATCAGTTCTTGTCCTTGCCAGGAGGAATTATGATTTCGGGCACCATTTTCCTGCTGTGCATGCCCTTTGGGGACCTCCAGACCCGATCAGCTCCCCTTTCACAAACCAGATTCAGCAAGCTCCCTTCTGTGGGTGACCACATTATCAGCATCTCTTTGCGGGGATCCTGCTCCTTCCCTCCCCTCTTCCAATTGCCCAAGAAATACTCCGCCAGCAGAAAAGCATTTCCATTTCTTTGATATTATCTAATCTGCTACCATTTCATCATGAATTTCTTTTATCATTGTATGAACTAGAAGGGCATTTTTTCTTTCTTTTTTCTTTTTTGAAAATCATTTCCTTTCACTGACAAAACCATCAAATGGATCAGAGGGAGCTGCCTTTTTGCCTGATGTCAGATTTCTGCCTTTTCCTTTGTAAACAGATTAGCTGGTCATGTGGTGTACCTTCCTACTCAGAAAGGCAGGGAGCTGGGAAGGGTTTGAGTCTCTCTGTCTCTCTCTATCTCAGATTCAGCTACCATAATTTTGCTGAAACGTACAACCTCGATTATTTGCAACCTTGCTCTCCAGCCCGCCCTCCTTTCTGCTGCTGGGGGCAAGGTGCAGACCTTTGGGGCCTGTTCATTAACATGAGACTTCACTCCTCTGCTTGCAGAGCTGATTCGTGCTCCCTGTGCCGTTTGGATTATCAGAGTTGCATTCCATTGGGAATGATGGCCTTGCTGCCTTTGATGTGATGGAAAAGACAGGGGCACTTAGGCCTAGATGGGGGTGCTGGGGCTGTTGGAAGGGGGGAGCCCCCAGAGGCTGTGCCTGTGCTTTTCTCTTTGTTTTTTTGTTTTTTTTTGAGGAGGGAGGGTCTAGTGCATGGGAGATTCACTGGTGGGGAGGGTTCAGGGCAGCCAGCAGCAGCAGATGGGAAAAAATGTCTTGTAACATTTAATGCTTCTTTGACTGTTTCTAAACTAGGTGTCAATTCACAACAGGCTTCAAACGTACCAGCACAACTCCGCCCTGGGGCACGAGAGTGGAATGCAGCCCAGCACGCGTCTTAACACGCCACGGGAGCGGCTGGAGACAGCGCTGGTGGCCTCGCACCCCGCCTCGGCGGGGACACTTGTACAGTGCCAGCAGATTGTCAAAGTCATTGTCTTGGACAAGCCGTGCCTCGCTCGCATGGAGCCGGCCCTCAACCAGACTCTGA